GCATTTCAAAAAGGTAGATATAACAGGTCCCTTTTTCTTTGAAAAAAGACTAATTTTTAGTCGATATCTTTAAGCAAGAAAAAAAAAAAATTTTATTAATAGACACTTCTTTTCACGCCTAACGTTTTTAAAAAGAGATTTTAGGTGCGACAAAAATTAAAAATTTTATATCAAAAATTCATTGATGCTTTAAAATGGGAGCGAACATTTTTTTCTAACATTTAAATAAAAATCTCCAAAAATTCAAATCCGGATATGAAGACGTATTTAGTTTGTGGAAGGGTTTTTATTCAGGGCGTTTTTCAAAAAAACAGATATAACAAAAATTAAATTTAATTGATTTCTATTTTATTGTGCATGAATTTTAGTCAAACAATGAATTTAACGTAAACATTTTTGAGTTTGAAAAAAAAAAAAATAAAGAATTTTTGATAAAAATTCAACGGAAAAAATTAAATTGAGACAACCAACCAATTTATTATTAACTGGATTTGACTAAAAAATATTTGTTTTTTTTTTTTACCAAAAATAAGTTATTAATCATATAATAAATTAAATGTTAATTACCTAGGTACCTCCACGAGATCGCTAAAAAAAAGAGCATAGCATGATGAAAAAAAAGACGCCAAACTTGACGAAAACAAAATTTTTATCGTCTAAATGTTTGTTATTATTAAGAGGAAAGGTCAAAGTATTTTTGGGGTATTTTTTTCCATTTTTTAATCGTTCCTAGCACGTCCGAAATTTTCGTTAAAAAAATCTAGTTTTTTTTGAGTCAGCAAAATTGACCATTTTTTTTTTTTATTTTAAAAAAAAACTGGAAATCTGACTTTGAAATTTTTTTAAATATCAATTATCATTTTTTCAAAACTTATTTTAAGAAAATCAGAAATTATAATGTTTATTTAAAATATTTTGAACCAAACTTAACTTAGCTTAGCTTTTGTGCCAAAAAGATGTAATTTGAAAATAAAACAAAGCAGGTCATAAACTTTCGCGTCTCTTGACATGTGATGAATGATATATTTACGAATTCCATGAGGCTAATTTGTTCTACGGAAGGAGAAAAGTGAAATAATTTACATTTACGTGAACAAATTATTTACCCCGTTATTTTTAACGAAAACTTTCAGCGGTCTAATTTTTTTTTTTTTTTTTTGTACTTAGCTTTCACCTTTACGTTTATGATGCTTTATGGGAAATATATTGTAAAGAAATTAAAATAAAACTGTTAAGAGTGACATTAAATTTCATATTTCTTAAGAAAGGTATCTAATTAATTTATAGGTACCTTTCTTATGAAATTTTATCAGAATTGTACATAAAATACTATAATTTTATGTACATTTATTACATTCTACTGTTATTTGTATTTGCATTCATTTTATTATTAATTTTGATATTTCATTTATGGAAAAATGTCGTAACTGAGATTAATATAAAAATAAGATCATATAAATTTCATAAGATGATACTGATACTTGTAGGTACCCTTCTCAGTTGAAATTGAAAAATCAAATTAACTTCTCCACACGTGTTTCGCAAAAAAGTAAAGGCCTTAACAGCGGAGAACAATGCTTAACTCAAATAACGCAACTTAATTATATTCTGGTTGGTCTTCCGTATTTTTTATAATTACAGCTCGATTATAAGCACAAAATTACATTTGTTAATTACTGGGGATCTTCTGATTAGTCAAAATGATACAATTTACAACGCGCTAAAAAAAGATCTATCTCATAAGGACACTTATGAAAGCCGATGCGGCTTTTAACTAATTTTATAATATTTTAACAACTTAAATGTAAAATCTATTATAATTAATGAAATAACAAATAATTGTATTAAAAATTCATTTTTCATCGAAAAATTTTTTTTTTTGCTTTCAGAAAATATTGTCCATATTCATAAAAACAACTAAAAGCAAATAAAAGCATTTGAAATTAAATAATATCTTTGTTTTATTGAGTTTTGTATGTTACAATTCAGAGCTGATTTTCAGGTACTGCGTATCCAATTAAAAAAAAAAAAAAAAAAAAAAAACATGATTTGCATTCCTCAAAGCCCTGTGCTTTTAATTATTGTAATCACTAAAACCGATGCGATCGAATTTCTAGCGTTTTCATAAAATTAGTTATGGGGGGGGTAATAAATATTTAAAAAAATATTTCTACCATGACTTTCATAAAAAAAAAACATATTTATAATAATTTCGATCATCTGTGAATAGTTTCTGAAAGTTTCATTAACATCCGATAATTATTTCTATTTTTGCACGATTTTTCAAATTAATGTGTGTCATACCAAAAAAAAAAAAAACGTGCTAAAAATTGTCTATGTTATTTACTAGTTCCGCTGATACAAATAGAAAAAAGGTTTTTTAAATCAAAATTTAGAATGTTCTAAAAAAAGGAAAATTTTTTAAAAATAATTAAAAAAAAAACTTTGGTCTTTCCTCTTAATAATAACATAAGCATTTAGACAATAAAATTTTGTTTTTTCATCCACAATTTGGCGTCTTTTCATCAAGCTATGCTCTTTTTTTAGCGATTTCGTGGAGGTACCTATGTATACGTGTTCAATCTCCAGAATTGGATCTTTTACTTGATCCTTTGGTGATCAAAAAGCTATGCTAACATTTTTAATAGAATAACAATAAATCCTGCGCATTTATTTCTGGATGACCATGGCTCTCTACAACTTCCTGGTTTTTGTTGTTCTAAGTAATCTTTATTTACTACCCCTTGTTGTTCTTGTTATGCTATCTATTGCCGCAAAATCGTTGCTTTCCCTTGATTCTCTTACCTTTAGAAGGTCTTGTGCGTGTTAATCTTTTCAAACCTTCTTTCCTTATGTATAACAGAAATTTCAACTGTCTTTTTGATTCTAAAAGTCAGTTTCATTGTTTCATTTCTACACAGCCGGAAGCATTTTTGAAGGAGAAAATTGTTACAAACACTAAATCACATTGCGTTTCACAAATCTGCATTATGCCTTTGTAAATGAGACTTTGTAATTTATGTCTTTGTAAATTTCATGCACCTTCAGGCCGGAGGCAATCTTGCCTCTCTCCAAATTACTTTTCTATATTCTCTGAATTAACACGCCTCCCTCCTGGGAAACATTGTGGTTTCCCGTTGCCATATCTACGGTTTCAAGTCAGAGAAGTCTTTCTTTCTTTTTTCTCTTTTTAATCATTTCAACTCAAGCAATTCAATAAAGCCACTAAAATGCAAGGAGTTACTGAGTTTAAGAGAATATGATTTAAAAATTTACTAAGGAGAGAGGACAATAAAAGAACAGAATATTAAGAACACAGAAGATAACAATTGCCATTGATCTTCAAAAATATAAAAGCAAAATTTACTGGAAAGAAAGAAGCCGGAAGTGTCTTCTGCAAACGAGAAGTGCGAGAGAAGAAACGGTTAGCATAGAACTTACGGTTACATCTAGCCAATTCAACTGCAAGATGAGACTTTGCTGCCAATCTAGCAATAAGCTTAAATTCATAAAGTACCAAAAGAGGAAAGCATATCAGAACAATTACCATAACAATATTTATAGAAAAGAAACGGAGAAGCTGAGATGCCAGGTCAGGACCAATAACTTTGCAGATTCTTTGTACTTTATCGAGAATCTGAATGCAAAACAGAAGCCCCAGGCCAGATGTGACAGCAATATTCAATGCATGGACGAGTGAACAGGCTTTACAGGCTTGTAAATGTGCAAGATATACACTTTTTCTCGCCATCATCTATCACGACACAGAATTGATTCAATAATATCCTTCCACTTTGTCAGCGGAAAATGTTAACCAGAGGCGGCAAAATGGCCCCCCTCCCGGAGGCTAAGCATCGTTTAGCATCTCTTAGCGGTTAAACTGGCTGCCACCCAAGGTTAGAGAGAGCGCTGACTACGCAGCTATTTAACCAACAATTGACAGGTAGGTAGAAGAGACTGATTCATGCCTTTCCCAAGGGCATCAGTGCGAAAGTGAACACAACAAACAAGGCTGGTATTTGAAATCGTCTCATTGATTTACCTTTCCGCTCCGATAACCGTTATACTACTTTTAGTTTATTCAACTGATTGGCGTAAATGAGAATTTAAATTATGAAATAACATGCGGTAACAGAATCAATGAGGATTATGGTGTAACTGGAGTTCTTTCCCCATAGACAACTTCGCAAGTTCATCGCTACTTCCATGGCAAATGTTCAGAGCAGCTCCATTCTTTAGTTCCACTATCTCAGACCTTTACAGCTAAGAAACATCGAACATGTTTACTCCCGTATTTAAAATGTAAAAAGAAAGTACAAGTCAGATAGCTTTTCCACAATAGCGACAACATTGTAAAAAACTCCCACTTCAAGTCAATGGCCAACTATTATCTACACTCGATAGACATTACATTCAATTCAGCTATCCTCATAATCTTCACTTCCTACCACCTCCTCTTATATTCATATCACAGACTTCATTCAGTAAACACTCCCTGCCATGACGGACTCTTAGTAAACACCACACGCCTGCCATGACGGGCTCTATTGCCGCAGGTTATGATATAATCTGAAATTCCATTTACTGCTAAGCTATTCAATAGTCAGTTTGAATTTTTTGCCCTTAATTAAAACTTACTTCGTTAGTGAAGATCCCCCCCCGCCCAAATGCTTTTTAAATCATTCAAGGTTAAAATATCGAAAGCAAGCTAAGACAGTAATGAATAAGTAAATTGATCTCACTTTTTTTTTTTTTTTTATAAGGAGATACTCTATTGTTATGGTAGCAGGAGATGTGTTTGCTTCGAGTGGTGTTGCGTTCAGTAATACCTTGTCTTACTAGAAGTGAATATTTCAGAAGTGGTAAGACCAGGTTACGTGGATTACAAATTACTCAAGAATTAAATGAAAATAATTCTTTTTTTAAATACTCCGTGATTTTTGTAACAATGCATGTATTATTCAACGTTCCTCATTCTTTTGTTTTCTACTATATTTCAGTATGTCTAGCTTGTTCGCCCGAATTCAAACAAATGCAGGCAGATTATAAACAACTGCATCGACGTGTACTTCGATTGGAACGAGAAAAGGTTAGTAAACTTTTTTTTTTTTTAATCTGTTCAGTTTTATTTACATATCTATCACTGGGTTTTGTCTATGGTTTATATGTATCTTTTCTTCAGTTGAAGGTGATATTTAGAAAATCTTCTTTGTTTAGGTAAGTTTTTATGTCTATGTCGAATCCCATATTTTTGAAAATTTTTATGATTGTTTTTCTAGTTTGTCCGTTAGTTTCGTAAGCTTACAAGATCGTCGTTCCTGTAGAATTCAGTATCATTTCTATCGATTATTTTACTCCGTAATTTTATGTGCTTAACCGGGGAAGAAAAAGTTTCAAGGGAGACATCTTAAATTCTTTTTATATATGACTAGCTCTTATCTATTGGTAGTCCTCAAATAATGTGATGTCTGGTACAGTTCTTTGTGATTCTATAGCGTCAGTTCACAATGTTCAAAGCAGGATGATCTTTGCCATGACCCCCCCCCCCAGGCTTCACTCGCTCAAAGCCCTTTTTTTACCATTGACCTTAAGAAACGGTAGTATAGAGCTGACAATTTAGATATTTCTGAATGGGTTTGGTACCATGCATGACATCTGTATGAAAATCTTGAGCTGACTAAGCTATTTAAGAATATAACTAGATTTTTTAGATTGAGGTTTTGGTTTAGTAGCAATTTGTGGTATTGAGCGAAACGCCGAATAGGGCACGGTTAAAGCTTTTATAATCTCAGGGACATCTGGTTGTAAAAATGGCGCAGCCACTCATATCCGAGGATGCCAGGCTACTAGGGAGGCTAGCTAATCCCCATTGCAGACGCCTGCTCATGCACATGTGTTTTTTTTCCTCAACACGCACAGAGCCCACCTGTGGTTTATACTGCAACTACGCTGAGCGGACCTTAGTTACAGCTTCTGGGATAGAGCGCGTTATCTAGCATGATCAAATGTCTGAACAAAGTTAGCAAGCTCAAACACTCGGTCACGATGACTTGTGACTTCGTGCTCTCCATATTTCCGTCTGCCCAATTTCACTCACAAGGCTTAGATCAACCCGTGGGGTATCGTTTTCAGGCACTTTCCAAAGGTGTCGCGGGCTGGATTCACCTCTTCCAGACCGATTGTACCCTATTGTGATTTCTTCTGCTCTAAATCGAGCAAAGTTAGGAGGAAAATTACATGCCACAACAGCCAACAAGTGAGACAGTTTTTATAATGTCAAATATATTTTATAATATTAATATGATAATATTAGGTATATAACAATTTTCTTAATTTTTTTTCTTTTTTACACACATTCCGATCTATAATAGAAGAAAGATTTCTATTTACTTCTAACAAAAACTGGACGGGGGGGGGAAGCAATCCGTTTGTTTTTGTTTTGTTTTTGTCTTGATTATTTTCTGTGTCTAACTTCAAAATTTCTAACAGTCGCAGATTCGAAAGAATGTGACGAAACTAAAGAGAAGCCTCCGCCGTTGCATGCGCAATAAATGCAAACGACAGTCCGCCACGACGACAAACGAACCGACATCAACCACAACAGAGACCACTACACGAGCTACAACAACGAAAGCCACACAGCCCACAACAACGAAAGCCACACAACCCACAACAATCACCACCCCAAAAACTGTCCCAACTACAACTAAACCTGATAATATAAAAACGACAACGGTTCCCATCACAGACAAATCTTTGAAACGTATTGAATATATGATTTCTTCAATGAATAAACAATTCGCCATAATTGAAGAAAGACTCGAAGAATGTAAGTATACATTGGTCGAACCTGTAGATTATTTGGAGTATAGGGCTATAGCCCAATCCTGCTAGGTGGTGCTAGTGGGATTGCAACCGAAATATATATTTTATAGGGAGACATTGTAGAAGGTTAATTTGCTAGGAATATGTCGGGTGTCATCAATTTTGACAGTGGAAACCAAATATTTTTGTAGAAGAATAAAATTATTGATAAACAGATGAAACAACTCTACAAATTTAAGAAATTTATAATTAAAACAAAAGTTCATTAACAAAGCGGGGTAGTTAGAAATATCGGAAGGAAACATGAAAATATCGTCAACTTATTTGACGATTCAAATGTCAAATAGTTTGTGTGCATTGAAAAAGGTTCCTTTTGTGTATATACATTTTTAATGCGGAATTTTATGCTAATTGCGTATGTATCAGTAGTAGTAGTAACCATTGCTATACAATAGATAAATAGATTTGAAGATAAATGTAATTATTTTAAACAATACTGAAACCAAAATGAAAAGCAATGAAATTTAAGATTTGCATAGATTCCACTCAGAGTTGAACAATGTCGGAAAAGCGTAATCGGTAAATCGTTTTTTTTTCTTTCTCTCTACCGAAAGCTGGCTAAGGTAATTTATAGAAAACCAATCAGCTCCAAATTGGGACAAAAAAAAAAAAAAAAAAAAAAAAAATAGAAAATAAAAAAAATTAAGAATTAATTCTAACTTATGAGTGGTTGAAAGAAAAGAAAAATATTTTGTAATGATTGGAGCCATAAGTTTTTCTCAACAGGAACGTCTGCAAGTCTAAAGGAATATACAGCGTCATTTCTCGAGAGTTCTGATAGATCAGACAGCGAAAGAGAGAGGGGGCTAGAGAGAGAGGGGGCCAGAGAAAGAGAGAGGGGGCAGAGAGAAAGAGAGAGAGGGGGGGCAGAGAAGAGAGAGAGAGAGAGAGGGGGTGCAGAGAGAAAGAGAGAGAGGGGTGCAGAGAGAGAAGAGAGAGAGGGGTGAGAGAGGTGTTGAGAGAGAGAGGGGTGCAGAGAGAGAGAGAGAGGGGGTGCAGAGAGAGAGAGAGAGAGAGGGTGCAGAGAGAGAGAGAGAGGGGGTGCAGAGAGAGAGAGAGAGGGGTGAGAGAGAGAGAGAGAGAGAGAGAGGGGGTGAGAGAGAGGGGCCAGAGGGAGAGAGGGGGGAGAGAGGGGCCAGAGAGGGGCCAGAGCAGAGAGAGAGAGGGGGGCCAGAGAGAGAGGCCAGAGAGGGAGAGAGAGAGAGAGGAGAGAGGGGGCCAGAGAAAGAAAAGAGAGGTGTTAAAATTAAAATTAACATCAGATTATAGGTCATTTTTTAGATTAGCTTACAATTTGACCTCATCGAACCGATTAGACTTACCATTAAGACAGGAGTAAATAATTCTGTCATCAGCATAAATACCAATTTGGAACTGCAGGGATACTATTTAGTCCACATGATTTGTATTAAAGATTATGGTTTGGGGATTTCAATAAACTCGATAATTCCTCTAACATTCACTTTTCTTTTCACCACCAAACTTGCTATCACCTAAAATTTACTTTTTTTTGTTGTCTGTTCTGTTTATTAAGCGACAATTAAATGGTTTTCTAGAAAAAGGAGATAAAAGACGACTGAAACTGAGAAAAATATTCGTCAAATATTAATAAATTCATATTTTTTTTTTTTTTTAATTTCAGGCACGTGTCAAAGAAATTCCCGTTTGGGTCCGGGAGAACCATATTATCATCCGATCAGCTAAAGTCAGACAAAAACAATCAATAATATAAATGTTGCCTCGCTCAACAAAGTGTTGAAAAAATCTAGAACAGAACAAAATTCAAAATTGAATACGCCTGATGACCGGCAATCAGTTCAGATATCCAACTTGACTCCGAGTGTAAAGGGAGATTCCATTCTATCTGTGGGTCACTCAGTTTCATTTATCTGTCGATATACGTCCACTCTTGTCTGTTCAGATTTACCTATCCATCATGGACTGGGATTTAGTACGGTATAGAAGTTAGCCTTGAAAACCCTTGACATACACAAACGAAAAATTAAGAGCCGACCGACATTTGGATAATATAAACGACAAAGATGCTTTTCATTGAATTGGGCCTTCAATTCGAAATGTTACCATTTTTTAAATTGTTCTGTTATAATAAAATGACATTCAATTCATTCTGTATTTGATAGGAACTTATGGAAATGTATTTCTGGCAAACTAACGTTCAGATTAAACAAAAAAAAAAAAAAAAAAAAAAACCATCAAAGTTCGCTTTCTGTTGTTAAAATGATGATTACAGCAACCGATTTTTCCTTTTTGTTTGGAGTTTTTTTTGGGGGTTTTAAAATATATTTTATAGTGAAGTTCACCCTTTACAAGGTCTGATGGCCACGCGAGTTAGGTTACATTTGGAGGCCATTTGTATATATAGAAGTGGAAGATAACAGTTGACCCTAGCCTTGAACAGGTTAAGATTGTAGCGATCCTGTTGGGAGTAGGTTCCACAGGGCAGTGGTTCGCGGGAAGAAGCTGTTCGAGTAGAACTTCTCACTGATGGAATACCGCGGGGGGGTATGTAGGTGGTTTACTACAATGTAAGTATTCTTGCCGTGAAGGTTTGACTCGGCTGGAACAGTAGTTCGTCCGAGCACTTTCCGTAGAAGTAGCGGTTGAGCAGCGAAAGGCTTGCTACATCCCGCCTGTGGGAGAGAGGTTAACGAATGGAGAATAGTTCATCACCCACAAGGCCTGGGAGACTCTTTTGAAATCCATCAAGGCTGGAGAGCGAGGTTTGGGCAGCATCAGCCCAATGACCTTGATCTGGCTCTTGTAAAGGTAAAGGATAGCAGGAGGGGTCAGGTGTTAATATGGATACACATTTTGTCTCGGTGGATTAAGATGAGCTACTGTAAATATCTAGATCAGTACCACAGATGTCATTGTTAGTTTCTAAGCTTAACCAGCTGAGCATGTCCTCCCAGGCGCTGACGCAACATAATGCCGGTGTGAGGAAAGTTTTTTTGTTTGTTTTATTTAGTTTTAATGTTGAAGCAGCCAAACAATCTTTCGGGGCATATGTAAGTAAATGAGAACACACTTAATCGGAGAACATCTGGGTGTAATAGGTTCAGTCAGTTATTTACCATGCGCGATACACGCTTTGGAGATCATGTATCTTTCGATACATTGAAGAGGCAGATTTTTTCCCGCAGTAGGTGGCCATTTCTTTCTTGTTGCCATCCAAGGCTATAGAACCCGGTTTGTCCTACTATTTTGCCCATAGCTTGTGGGAGAAGAGAATTCATACCTTTCTCAAGGGTATCAGCACGTAAGTGAATGTAATGGATTCGACTGAAATTCGAACTCGGCTCTCCGATTCCTCAATCCGAGCTGCTATCCATTACTCCACTGTGACTAAAGCGACCTAAAGATATTCTCTGCTAGGTGATGTAGTACTTGCATAAACACCATATCGTGCAAATTTGGCTGTGATAAAAATCGGATATATCAGAATAAAATAACAGCAATTTGCTTAGAGAAATATTATCAAAAGAAGCATTTGAAAATCACAGAGGGCGGTTAATTTTCAACGTAACTGAAGCGAAGCAGCGTGCAAGCTTTTTGTGGGTGGTCGAAAAAAAAAAAAAATTGATTCCGCTAGCCCTCGACTAAAATACAACGTTCTAAAAGAAGAAGAAAGGTATGTGTGCCAACGGTCAAGAAAGTTTGAATTTAACTCACGTGATCGCGGAGGCAGAAATGTAAAGGAAGTCAGAGCTTCAAACTTCAAGGAGAAATCATGGAGATGGAGAAAAAAGACAAGAAAGGACGAGAAAATGGGACAGAGAGAGAGAGAGAGAGAGAGAGAAGGTCATAATTATAATTTTTGTAAGAAAGAAAAAATGTAGGAAGAGCATTAAAAGAGAGAGAGAGAGTAGAAAAAGGGAAGGAGAGAGAAAACAGTGAATAAAAAACAGCGAGAGAATAGAAAAGAGAGCGAGGAGAGACGAGAAAGAGGAGAGACAGAAAGAGATGTGTAAACGATGAAGTAAAAGTAAGCAGTTTTCAAATTTTAATTCCATTTGGTTCTATGCCATCATGCGTCCACGCCTCCTCTTCCTTATCAACATCCCCTTGCTCTACAAATTGCGGCGGAAACAGTGTGGGAATCTATAGCGTCGGCATTGGAAATAAGAGAAAGATCACATGATGTTGGGTGGTGGGGGTCAATGCATGTCTATTGTTAGACGCTGCCTTCCTGTGTTTGCGTGGGCAGGCAAGTCAGCGTTGCTGGTCAAGTAGCTTTTTCATTAAAAGTCATTCAAAAAAAAAAAAAATAAATAAATAAATAAAAAAAATAAAAAAATAAATAAATAAATAAAAAATAAAATCCAAATCCCAAACAGTGGATATTGTTAGCTTCTGTCGCTTCCTGCAGACAGTAGGACAAAAATAAAGCTAAATTAGCAGAATTCTGACCCTGGAGATAACAGAATCGTGGGTGGGAACAGGGTATGCGATTTTATGTCCAAAGGAGGTGAACGTACGTACGAGGGGGATGCTGAAAATTCTCATTGCGACCCACTTATCAATTTCTGACTAAATAGAAGTCTTTTTCCTTCCTAGGGTCAAGAACCTCATATTCGATAGATATCATGGATTTTAAAAGCATGAGAGCATCACTGCTGTAAGCATTTCCCTTACATTTAATAGGCAAACTAATCCTAAATTAAATATTAGATACCCAAATAACAAATTTAAACATCGTATTTACAAATTTAACATGTCTGGCTGAAGGCTATGACAATGGGGCACTTAGCGAGGATCGAACTTACTAATCTTAAGTTAGTAGTAGGTCGAGGGGTGCCGACATTTAAAAAATAATAAAATAAAGGAAATTTTCCAGAAATTAAAATCACTGTTTATTAATTTCGTACATTTTTCTATTCTCCCTTTTATTAGGAGTCTTCGTGTATTTCATATTGAGAAAAATTCTGCCTCCCGATTAATAAGGTTCCACTAGTATTAGGCAAGTAAGGCTACCGTGTAACGAGAAGGTGCTGAGATATTCTCGGCCTGATCAAGAAATAATATTTGTTTGGTCAGATATTTGGAAACGAGTCAGATCGTGAAATTTTTAGCACCTTTGGAATGTCCCCCACCTTCTCTCTCTTTCTTTCCTTGGTAGCCAATAAAATTGGTATACCGCCTTACTTGTGGCAGGAAGTGTTGGTCGAGTGTTTAGGTAAAACACACGTGTCCCCTGGTGTATTTATCCCACAACAATAATTACGGACTCTGGTTTAGAGTCCTGGTAATAAAATGAATTATATATAACACAAACGATAAGTATATATTAAGAAAACAAAGGTATACATAGACAATAGAATATTGTTGCGTGTTACAAAACAATGAATATGAAAGAAGAAAACATTTAAACTAGTAAAGGTGTTTGTGTAGAAGTAAGTGTAAGAAGCGTGTGCGATAGACACGTACGTGAGAGAGAGAGAGTCAACAGAGGACCAAGGGGAAGCGAACTCGCCTCAGCGGCAGCGTTCTTATCTACGTACGACCAACATCTTACCCTCCATGAGTGAAATAGGGGGAAAAAAAGGATAACAGAATGTTACTGCCTATTTAAAGCCTTAGCGGGCGTCCTCTAGCGACGGATTTTTTTTTCTTTTTTTTTTTAGGAAAGTAAGTGGGGTAACTCCAAAGGCTACAAAATATAAATCCTATACTATTTAAATTTCGTTAAAAAGATTTTTTTTTGCTTCACACCATACGAGATGGCTACTTCAGATCTCCTTAGAGGATTAACGGCTGTAGAATGTAAAAAACGAACTTAGCTTTGTGATAAAAACAGCAAGCAAAAGAAACTGTACAAAGTAATTCACACCCTCTTGGGGTCATTTTGAACTTTCAACTTTCCTTTATTCATAAAATTATAAGCATTTTGCTTAAAGTTCGTATTTTCTTGATTTCAGCTAAAGGACATTTCCAAACATATTTAAGCGGAACTGTCACTTTCTAAAATTATAGTTGATAATTATGGTTTAGATATACAGAAAAAGAAAAGTGTTAGTATAAAACTGACGCCAGAGTGATAAGAGTTCATAATGAAAACTGGCCTCGCCCTTTGTATCTTCTTATTCGCTTTATTATTCTATATATCTTCTTTGCTCGTCCATGTTTTAACAGAATGTTATACAAGTATAGATTATTTTCCAACGTGAGACTAAATAAGAAATGTCTAGCAGAAATAAACAATCTACAAACACAGCTCTTCAAATTTTTAGTAAATTTT